TAAATAATGAATTTAGGTTAGAGTGATATTTGGCCTTAGAAATCTAAATGAAAGTCATAGAATACGTTAAAACACGAGCATGCATAAAAAGAACGTCTAAATCTGACTTTATATGACAATGTTATGATTTTTTGAAGTTTCAGCTTAGCAGTATACAACCCGAAGTTCGAATATGAGATCGAGCGATATTTAGCCGAAGCAATCTAAACGAGAATTGAATATCTCATCGATAGTAGTGCAACGACGGAACAGACGAAAACGGACGTCAGACGAGGGAGTTATGAGTTTATAACAGAGTTTTGCTTTCCTGTCCTACTAAAATAATATAAAAATAATATAATAAAAATAAAGTCAAAATTAGCCAACGGAGTCTAAATGAAAGTTGTATATATTTTTCTTACCTACGCATCCATATAAAGAATTTCGAAAATGGAGTTCGTATGCGAAAATTATGAATTGCTGAAGTTTGGGGCGTGAAACCCCAAAACTATCAGAGACCACGATGTGAAAACAATGCCCATGACGTGGCATGGCTTCTGTTGCCTTCTGGAGCTTGACAAAGCAAGTGGACGATGATTCATGCAATGACGATCAAGCCCACAACATGGAAGAATTGCCCACGATGTGGAAGATGAGAAAACAACCATATAAATAGCTTTGAAGGGGCAGTCGTTTGTGGTTGCCAAATCTCTTCTCTCTCACCTATATTACCTCGATTTATGTGCAAAGAAGTAACCCCAAAGCCCCGGTATCATCCGAGACCCGAAATGAGTCCCGAAGCCCGATTATCCCGTGAATATAAGAGTTTCCAAGCTGAAGCTCTGCCCGCAAGAAGTCCGGTATGTGAAGATATCCCGGATTCATCGGAGAATTTCTAATTCTACAAGCTGTAGTGCTGTCCGATCATCTTCTGATTAAGTGAGTGTGTGGTTACTTTCTTCTAACACATAAATATTAAGTATTTGCCGTGAAATACGTGCTATGTGTTTATACATTGTTTGCTTATTTGAGATGTGTGTGGAATTGATGTTTTATATAGTTTTTAAATGCGTTAAACTGTATATGTATTTTATATCTACCAATATGTTGGGTAGAACATGGGTAGATGAGATAGTTGGTATGTGATAAACTGATGGGGTAAATGATGAGGTATGAAAGATGATTAAGAATGACATTGGCAGATGCACCAATTAGAGAATGTCATAATACTAGTAGATGCACTTAAGAATAATCTTGGTAAATCCACGAAGTAGTAAATGTCGTAATCCTGGCAGATGGGCTTAAAGGATAATGGCGGCAGATACACCTAAAAGAGAAGGCATAATGCTAGCAGATGTGCCTAAACACAATATTGGCCGATACGCCAAATAGAGAATGTCATAATACTAGTAGATGCACTTAAGCATAATATTGGTAGATGCACCTAAAAGAGAATGTCATAATGCTAGCAGATGCGCTTAGGAAAAATATTGGTAGATGCACCAAATAGAGAATGTCCTAACATCGTGGCAGATGCGTTTAAGGGTAATGTCAGCTAATGCGCCTAAAAGAGAATAACATAAACCTGACAGACACGCCTCATGTAGCAATGGGCATTGTGTCAATTCCTTAGGTCAATACTTAGGAACAAATGAAGGAAGGATAAAACCTTAAGATATAAAGAAGATAATGGGGATGGGTAATTGGGTTGATTGTTTGATGATTGAAAATAATAATTATATTATTGTGGGATGAAAACCCTATATGCTCACCAGGCTCCCAAGCCTGACCCACTCAATTTCTTTTATTACAGGTAATGCACAAGATTATAAGTCAGATGACTTGATGATAGATT